CCCTCCCTCTTCGGCGCGCCCGGCCCAGCGGACGCCGCGAAGTTCCTCGCCTACGAGGGCCTCCGCGGCAGCGGCGCGGCCGCGGCGCTGCCCGCGGGCGTGGCGGGCGCCGCGGCGACGCTGGTGGCGCAGGGGGCGACGACCCCGCTGGACGTGGTGCGGACGCGGGTGCTGCTCGGCGAGCGCGACGAGGGCCTGGTGGAGGCGGCCCGCCGCCTGCTCACGACGGACCGGGGGGCGCTGTGGTCGGGCCTCAACTGGCGCCTGGCGCGCGGCGTCGTCGGGGGCGCGATCCAGTTCACCGTGCTGGAGTGGACCAAGGACGGGGATCGTTTCGGTTCCTCCGATGCGATCCGATTCGATTGCGATGGATGCCGATTCCGATTCGATTCGACTTCGGATTCCGATTTGGGCCCCGGTTTTTTCAACGGAGGCCTACCAGCCTGCCGATGTCCGCCGATTCGATTTCTCCCGACTCGGCTGCCGATTTCCGCCAATCCGATTCGTTTCGATCGCCGATCCGACTTATCGCTTCGACTCTGGGCTCGCCGGCCAGGACTTCCTCGCCGGCAGGCGCTGAGCGCCGGGGTGCCGAGGCGCTCCAGAAAGAGCGGCCTCCTCTTCGGCGCATCTCGCCTTCGACGGAGGCCGGCGGCAGTGGAACGGGGGCGGCTCCGCCGGCGTGAGTTCGGTGGGAGGCGGCGGAAGTGAGCGTGAGATGCATGCATGTGTGGGCCTAGGGTTTCAAGAGTCGGCCGTGCTGGGGCGAGTGGTGGGCCGCCCGGGAGGATGCGGACGGGGAGGGGGTAGAGGGAGGGGGGAGAAGGAGGCGGGATGAGGAGAAGATGATGATGGCGATGATGTTGGTGATGGTGCTGCTGATGATGATTAGGGGGAGGAGGAGCAGCAGGAGCAGGAGGAGGAGGAGGAGGAGGAGGAGGAGGAGAAGGAGAAGGAGAAGGATGAGGAGGAGGGTGGGGCAAGAGGATGAGAGGGGGGATGATATTGATAGTCCTTGTGATCGTGACAACGTTTGCTACAGTGAGTAAAAGGATGAGAAAGGAGGATGACTGAGGAGAAGGGATCAGGAGGAGGAGGAGGAGGAGGATAATGAGGGGGCGAAGGGAGAAGAAGGGATGAGAAGTGAGGAGGATGATGAGTGAGGAGGAGAGCGGAGGAGGAGGACGAGGAGGAGTTGGCTGAGGAGGAGGAGGAGGAGGAGGATGAAGCGGAGGAGGAGGAGGAGGGCGAGTAGGAGGAGGAGGAGGAGGAGGAGGAGGTGGAGGAGGAGGATAAGGAGGAAGAGGAGGACGACGACAAGGACGAGGAAGACGAGGAGGAGGAGGAGGAGGAGGAGGAGGAGGAGGGAGTTGTTGTTGGTTGTCGTTGTTGTTGGAGGAGAAGGCGGAGGATTGAGAAGGGGAACGGAGACGTGAGGAGGAGATCGAGGCGCGCACTGCTTCTGCTTCGCGAGACCTCCCGCGCGCTCGTGCTCGCCCGCCGCGATCGCTCTGGGGGCGTGGCTCGGGGGCTGACAAGTTTCCCCTTAATGGCTACCCCCTGGACTCTTTCTCCTCTCTTCCTGTCGTCTTTCCCCGCAAGGGCTTCCAATCCTTTTTTATCCTCCTCCTCCGTTCTTCTCCTGCTCCTCCTCCTCCTCCTCCTCCTCGTCCTCCTCTATCCTCCAACTGCTGCTCCTGCTCGTCCTTCGCATCCTCCTCCTGCTCGTCCTCACAAGCGTGCAGCAATCTCTACTCTCGAAGTGTGAGTCTTGATCTCTTGTTCCCCACATCCAAAGTGGGGTTCTTGTTTTCTCTGCACCCCTTCCGCGCAGGATCTCTCCTCCTCTTGCTTTTCCTCCGCCTCCTCCTCCTCCTCCTCCTCCTCCTCCTCCTCCTCCTCCTCCTCCTCCTCCTCCTCCTCCTCCTCCCCCCCTCTCTCTCTTTTCTTCCTTCGCACACTCACTCGATCACTCGCACACACCATCATCACTCACAGTCACCCACTCACCCACTCACGCACACTATCATTACCATCGTCGTCATCACTCGCACATTCGCTCATTTACACACTCATCATCATCACTCACTCACTCGCCCACTCATTCACTCACCCACCTACCCACCCAAGCAGGAGCCTCGTCTGTGAGTGAATTGCGAGGAAGTCTCAGGCGGGAGCCCCCTCCCTATGGGGCCCGCACTTCATGTTGGTAATCCGAGCGGGTCATCGGAACCCTGCAGCTGTCGTCACTTTCGGGTTCCTCAGAGGAGAAGTGATGAGCGAATCGCGAGGAAGTCTCGAGCGGGAGCTCCTTCCCTATGGTGCCCACGCTTCGCTTTCGTAGTCATAGGCGGCTATCCGAGAACTGCCGTAGCGGCCGTGGAGGCCGTGGCGACCATGGCGGCCGTGGCGGGCGTGGTGGCCGTCGCGGCGGCCGTGGTGGCCGCGGCGGCTTTGGTGGCCGTGGTGGCCAGGGTGCCCGCGGTGGCCGCGTTGGCCGTCGTGGTGGCCGTGGCGGCCGTGGCGGCCGTGGCGGCCGTGGTGGCCGCGGCGGCCGCGGTGGCCGTGGTGGCCGTGGTCGCCGTTGTGGCTGTGATGGCGGTGGTGGCCGCGGTGCCTTCTGTGGTGCTCCGGGAGACCCTGTGTGGCCTGATCACGCTGACCCGTCTTGAAGCCGCCGTTGGCTGCCGCACTTTTTTTAAAGCCCACCGCAGGCAGGGTCCATCTGTCATACTACCCGCCGTCGCCGTCGCGCCGCGCGGGGTGGATGGGGAACACATTTATGTATCTGTCGCGGCCCCGCCGGTCGCTGTCGCACCGTTGGCCAGGCCAACCTGTGCAGTTATGTGCTGTCCATGTTTCTGGCCCCCACCTCGTCGCCGTCGCACCGCGCAGGGAGTTCCAGGAACAGGTGAACTTTCTATCTGTCGCGGCGTCGTCGGTCGCTGTCGCGCTGTTGGCCAACCAGCGTGAGTATGTACTCTCCAGCTATCTGGCCGTCTCCCGTCGCCGTCGCACCAAAACAAACGTGCGCGACACATGCTTGAAGTTAACTGTTCACGTCACGCCCATCGAGCATCGCACAATTCATTTAACTGTTGTATTACAACATCCATGCGGCGACATATCGCTTGTGCGCTTCGGTCCACCACGGACCCGTCGCCGCCGCCGCACTGCGGAGATCACAAGAGGCCCAACCCCTCCATAAGCCTAACATGTCCCGCATTCCCAGCATTTCAAGGCTTGAACCGAAGTCAAGGCAGCGTCGTACCGTCACTCTCGGACTGGAGCCATGTTGCATACAGAAGGGGGTCGAACACTAGGAAGACAATGAGAGAACTGCCATCGTGCCGTTCGAGCACCTGGACGAAGCGGGAGACTCTCGCTGCAGAAAGGCTGGCAGGTGTCCAAGCTCCACGCGCACACACACGCACGCGCACACGCACATGCACATGCTTCTCTCCGGCAGCAGGGCGACGGCGCAGTCGCATAGGCGCCGCGCCCGGACGTGCTCCGGCGAATCTCCACTCGGCGCAGCAGACGGGTGGGGCTGGAGGGTTGCAGTCGGATGCCGCAAGGACGCGGGGATGCGCGTGCATTGTGCATCACCGAGCGCGCTCCACTGCTCGCAGAGTGCCTGCTCGCAAACGCCCGAAAGCCACATGCCTGCCTCGATGCAGTTCATCGTAGATTCCCCGCGGCGGGTCCAGGCCGTTTGCAGGTAGCTGCTCTGCGAGTAGTGGAACGCGCTCGTCCAGTGGAGGATGCCGCTGCGGCCATGCAAACGCCGGGGCGCGATCGAGCGCCGCCAGGCGGACTGGAGCTCGGAGGCTGGAGGAGGCCGCGTGCGGCGCCCACTGCACCCAGCGCCACGGGGCGCACGCGGAACGGATGCTGCCCGACTGCAGGGGCGTGCCGACACACGGCGAGAACCCGGCTTGGGCGGGTACAGCAGGCTGCGGGGGCATGGCCGCGAACCATGCGGGGAGGCACGCGGCGCTTCACGACCCACCAAACCACCCCAACCCAACCCGAAGGCCTCAATTTGACCTCCATTTCCAGTTGGGGGGGGTCGGGGAACATTGAAGAAACACACATGGAACCCGTACCCCCCCCAACCCGAAATTGGGGTCTTCGGGTTGGGTTGGGGTGGTCTGGTAGGTAGTCAGCGCTGGTCAGTTCATCGGGAGCAGCGACTGGGCAGGATGACGCACATGCACACGCGCACGCACACACGCACCTGTGAGATCGGCGGGCACTGGTGCTGCACGTCGTGAGCCCCGCCTCCGTTTCAGCATTTCGGCCGAAGGGGCCGCGCACAAGCGAGTCATTGCCCGGCCTTGAAAAGGCCATGTCGACTCCAGATGCCCCGTTCTCGAACGGCGGCCTCGCTCCACGAGTGGGTCTGCCAGGCGCTGGCAGCCAGAAAGACAGCTCGAGCAGGGTGGATCCTGCGGTTGCGACAGCGGCATGGTGTGATGGTGACCCGGAGCGCCACCCAGCAGGAATTCATTGGTTTGAGAGAAGCCGGTCCGCCTCTCTCCGCTCGTGTCGTGATCTTGCCCTCCTTGCAGCTGCGGTCGCTCGCCTTCCTCCGCCTCCCTCTCCCCCTTCCTTCCCCTGCTCATCCTTCTCCTCCCCCCTTCCTCCCTCTGTGCCCGTCGTTGCGCACCGCGCGGCGGCCGCAAGCTCCTCCACAGCCCCCCGCTCCGCGACCCCCCTCGATCCTCCTCAATCCCCGATCCTCCCCCCTCTTCGACCTCCCTCTCTTCCCTGACGGGCCGCCGTCGCCGTCGCCATCGCCGTCGCCGCCGTCGCCGCCGTCGTCGCCGTCGCCGTCACCCCCCGTCCTTGCTGGTCGCCGTCGTCGGCGCCGCCGTCGTCCCTTGCGCGGCCCCTCGGCGGCCCTCGCCGCCGCCGCCGCCGCCGCCGCCGTCGCCCCTCGAGCGCCTTTGCGAGCGGCCCCTCGGCGGCCCCTCGGCGGCCCTCGGCGCCCCCAGGAGGAGGCGGGCGCGCGGACGCGCTGGGAGCGCGGCTTCTCGTGGCCGCAGCTCTTCGACTTCGCCCACCAGCGCCTGCCGGCAGACATGCGGCTCCGGCGCGGGCCCCGGTGCGCGGGCGGGCCCCGCCGGGCGGCCGGATCCCGCCCCGCCGGGCGGAGGATGGAGGTTCGGGGATGAGGAGCGGAGTCGGGCGCGTCATTCTAGAGGAGGAACCTGCAGGCCTAGTGTTTTGTATGAACAGTATGGGGACGATGTCTCGACCATGTTTTATCATCTTGAAGATTCGTGGACTACTTCTGATTTTCGCCCACAGTCCGCCTGTAGGGGGACATGCCCGACCTAATTCGAGGATGGAGCTTCCCTCAGATCCGCGCTTCGCTCGCAGAGGTTTGTGAGCTTTGTGAGCTTTCGGCGTCTTCGGGCGGGGAATCTGGTTTTCGGGCCGTTCCTTGGATCCAGCTCGGTCGGGGAGCCCGTATTCGTGGCCGAGATTCGCCGCGGCCAGAGAGGCCCCTCTCGTTTCTTATTTGGCATGGTTCGTGGTAGCACGATGGCTGCAGGTTGGTGTGTCGCTACGGTGGGGGCGCTCGTGACGGCATGTGCCTATAGGAGGCTTCAGACCCTGGGGGCTTCCTTATCCAATGAGGGCGGCGGTGGTACCCATGGCCGCTCCACGATTGGAGTTCCGCGGGCGTTCATTACCAGCCTGGAACATATCCCTATCCCTGTGCTGGGCACCTCCTCATCACGATGCCAATCTTAGGGATTCCCTCAATTTTTGAGGCCGGATCCCTGGGATTGTCATCGCCTTTTGGCGTGTCAATCTTAGGGATAGGGATACGTTCGAGGCTGGTAAGTCCAGACCCCGCATTCCTTCCCCCGCGGCTCCTTATCCAGTGCCCTCACCGTCTGGGCGGTGAGGCACGTCGGCTTGGCGCGCCGCGCCGCCCGTTCCGGCCCACGGCGCTGCGGCGCGGCCCCCGAGTCCCCAGCCTCCTCCTCCTCCTCCTCCTCCTCTCTCCTCCTCGTCCTCCTCCTCCTCCTCCTCCTCCTCCTCCTCCTCCTCCTCCTCCTCGTCCTCCTCCTCCTCCTCCTCCTCCTCCTCCTCCTCGGGCATCCACGCTCCGAGCTCTTCCCAGGCCTGCCGTCCCGCGAGGCACAGCGGCGCGCCTTCGACTCTGCAGGGCACTTCGTGTCCCCGGGGCCGCCGCCGCGACGCGCCGACCCACAGTTTTTTTTTTTCGCCGTCGCCAGGCGAGCCAATCAGGGCTCGTTTCGATTCCTCCGATTCGATTCGATTCGATTTCGATGGCTTCCGATTCCGATTCGATTCGACTTGGGATTCCGATTCGGGTTCCGACTTCTTCTTGGAGACATACTAGCCTGCCGATTTCTGCCGATTCGACTTTTCCCGACTCGGCCGCCGATTTCTGCCGATCCGATTAATTTCGATCGCCGATCCGAGTTATCGATTCGATTCTGGGCTCTCCTGGCCAACTGGGAGCCGACGTGGTGCGATGGAGCCAGTGCAAGCCAGACGAGCCAGTGTAATGGAGGTAAGACTAGAGACCCGAAAGAGCGCCAGTGGATCGCCCTCCTTTCCCCCCCTGGGCGCCGAAAAGGAGAGGGGGGGGGTTGGAATCCCCCCCCCCTCCCTGGCAGGGGGCCGACGACTCCCAGTCAAACGTGCTAGTGTTAGAGTGTTAGGGTTCGGTTGTTACACCTTGGGCGATGCTTAAGAAAACTTACATTTTCGGCCAGAGTCTCCATTATTCTTAATGTTTCAATGTGAATCCTAAGATTTCAATCGAAATTCTGGGTTTTTATTCAAGTTCTGAGACTATGGATTTCTTAACCCATGATTTCTTAAGCATTTCGCAGGGTGTAGGGTGCGGGTGTTAGGGTGTTCAGGTTAGGGTGTTAAGGTTCGGGTGATGGGGTAGGGTCTTAGGACATGAGGGCTCGTGACATGGTATGAGGGTTAGGGTGTTTTTTGGGTCAGGAGGGTCAGGGGTAGCGTGTTAGGGATTCATTCAGGTGAAGGCGTTGGGGTCAGTGTGTTTGGGTTCGGATGGTAGGGTCAGTTCTGGTTAGGACGTTAGTTGGTCAGGGTGTTACATCGGCGCTCCGAAAGTTCCTTCTGTGTTGCGAAGCACGGCTGCGTGCGGCTGCAGCGCAGCCGCATGACTGCAAGGTCGTTGCGATTAAGGAAGTCATGCAACGAGCCTTGCGGACCTGGGCAGGGACCGCCGTCGGGCGCGAAGCACGACAAATCTGGCGCGCGCGTCCCGGACCACCAGGGGCGGACACGGGCATCCGCCGAACAGGTACTTTTGCTGGAAGCCCTCCGCGTCTGCTGAATGTCAGGTCCGGCGGACAGGCTCTGCAGACATTTTTCTGCACAAGCCCACGCAAGTGGGCCCCTTTGTTGTGCTGGCAGCAGTACAAGTTCCGGGGCCATCTCGGGAGCAGGCCCGATGGGTTCCTCCGAGGAGGCCCCGCGCGGTGCGTCCTATCGGGTCCACGCGTCTTTTGGGGCTTAAAGGCTCGAGCTGGGGACCGAAGCCCGAGTCTGGCCCAGAGGGCGGGGGCTTGCGCGCTCAAGTTGCGCCAGGCCCCGGGCACGGGGCGGGGCGCGGGTCCGGCCCCCGCCGCCCTCCGCCTTGGTGCCCCGAGCGGCTCCTGCTGGCCGTCTTCGGTCAGCGCGCCGGCCTATTTTGGCGACGAGGTGCACCGCGGCAGGATCGGGGGGTCTTTCGGGTGGGCGCAGTAGGGCTTGGGCGATGGGGTTCGGGTGGCGGGGCTTCGGGCGTTAGGGTCGGGACTTTCGGGCTAGAGTCATGCTGTCAGAGTTCGGGTCAGGGCTGAGGCGTTGGGGTTGGGGTGTTGTGATGAAGGTGTTAGGGCAAAGGTGTTAGGCTTCCGGTGTTCGGGTCAGGACCCTCGCTAAGTGCCCGCGTTGGCCATAAAAGGGTGCGGCGTTCGCGGCGCTTGTAGCCGCGGTGCTGGTTCGAACTCCGTCCGCATCGGTTCGTGTGTGTATATATGTGTATTCCAGTGCTTCGCACTTTCCTTGCCATGCGCGCTTTGGCGTGGCACTGCTCTTTACCCTGTTTTGTCTCATCGTCTCTCACCTGTTCACCCCACCTTCGCCGACTGGGCAGGTCCCTCGGTCTGCGTGCACCCTTCCTGCCATCGATGCCCGGATGCGCGGATGCGGTCCTTCTCTTCTCAGGCTGCCGGGCTGGCTGCGCCCGCGGTGTGGCGTGGAACTTCCCCGCCGTCCACGCCGGGATGGCTGACGTCGGTAGATTCTTCATCCTGAGTGATTCTTGAGGGCCTGGTCGCCGCGCGCACGGCGTTTCGTCTTACTCCGTTTCGTCGCTGAGCGCGAGGCCGCTTCCGCCAAGGTGTCTTTTTTTTGTTGTGTGTGTGTGTGTGTGCGTTTGGCCCGCTTGCCCCGCGTCTTCGGTCATCTGATCACCGGCGACGTCCTCGTCGTGCTGGTCGCCCGCCGCTTGGGCGCGCCGCCTCACGTCGCCGCGTCCCGCTCTTTGCCGCGCCAGCCTCGCCAGCGCAGCCGCGTCGCCCTCCCTCTCCCGCGGCTGCTGGCCGTTCGCGCGCCGTCCTGCCCTTGGCTCTGCCAGCCGTCCGCCCCAGCCGTCCCTTCGCGGCGTTCTCTCGCCGATGGGGCCGCGCGTCGGGCCTCCCCGCAGGCTGCGTTCACCTGCCGCCCCGCTCCTCCTCCTCCTCCTCCTCCTCCTCCTCCTCCTCCTCCTCCTCCTCCACAACCTCCCTCCTCCTCCTCCCTCCTCCTCCTCCTCCTCCTCCTCCTCCTCCTCCTCCTCTCCTCCTCCTCCCTCCTCCTCCTTCCTCCTCCTCCTCAACCTCCTCCCTCCTCCTCTTCCTCCTCCTCCTCCTCCTCCTCCTCCTCCTCCTGCGCTCCTCCCCCCGCCCGGTGCTGGGCCGCTCGCGTGCCTCGCTTGCCGCCTGGCGGTCGCCCGTTAGGCGGGTCGCTGCTCCCCCGGGCCTCCCGTTTGGCGGGCCCGCCGGCCCCGCCGCCGCTCGTCGTCGTCGTCGTCGTCGTCGTCGTCGTCGTCGTCGTCGTCGTCGTCGTCGTCGTCGTCGTCGTCGTCGTTGTCGTCGTCGTCGTCGTGCCTCCCTGCCTCCCTGCGTCCCTCCCTCCCTCCCTCCCTCCTTTTATCCCCCTCCCTCTCCCTCCCCTCCCCTCCCCTCCCCTCCCCTCCCCTCCCCTCCCCTCCTTCCCTCCCCGCCGCCGGCGCCCCCGCGCCGCAGCCGCTGCGCCCTTTGCCCCGCCCCTGCCCCGTGAGGGCCGGGCCACCTTCTGCTGTTGAGATGGCGCGCGCGCGCCCGTGGGAGGGGAGACGGCCAGTGGCCAGTCCCAGCCCGCGACGGCCGAAACTTGTGTGTGTGGGCGAGTTTTTGTTGTCGTTTGCCGTTTTTGATGTTCTGTCTCTCTCTCTCTCTCTCTCTCTTTCTGTCTCCATGTCTCCATGTCTTCCTCTCCCTCTCTCTCTCTCTGTTGCTCTCTCTGGCTCTCCGTAGCCATTTCGGCTCAAGCCAGGTGCCCGCCGGGGTGAGCCCGGACCTCCGACGTCGTGTCCTTCTCGTTCCTTCGCAGGGGGCCTCGTCGCGGGGAGGGAGCGATGTGGCGGCCCCGCCTGAGGGCGCTGCGCCTGGCGCGCGCTTCGGCGGGCTGCTGCCGCTCGTGGCCGGGGGGCGGCGCGGCGGCGCGCGGGCTCGCGGGGGGGCCGTCGGGGGCCCGGCTGCTGGCGGACCGGGTGCGCGCGCTGCTGCAGCCCTACGCTCAGTACATGGTGCACGCCGGCAACTGCATGCTGCTGCTCGCCGTCAACCAGACAGACATGTTGAGCATGCGGCTCATGATGGTTACCGCCTCGTCGCTCGGCGTGGCATACAACCTCCTGCAGGCGCCGAGGCCCCTGGTGGCTCCTGCGTGCTGGGGCGCCTTCTTCATATCGAGTCACCTGTTCAACATATTGAGGCTCCTCCAAGAGAAGCAGCCAATACGTCTGACGGAAGACGAGGAGAGGGCGTACAATATGGCATTCAT